TATATATTTTCAAAACAACCATGATGCGCTCTATAAGGAAACTCATTGGCACTCCCCGAGATTTGGCCCCTACAGTAGCTGTGCAGAACACAACTTTGCAAGACCAGGAATTTAAAAAGGAAATTTTTATTAATCCTATTGGTGTTCCCGATGATGATCTTATTATTGATCCCATAGATGTTGTTCCTGTTACCGTTGATGATGTTGTTGTTGTTGATGTTTCTGGTGACGATCAACAAGACCACACTGTCCAAGCAGAATATTCCAGAGATAGTGTCATTTTTTATGAATGCACAGAAACATTTGGGACGTCAGGAAGTGACGTTGTTGTCCTTTATGATTCTGGGGATGTCAAGCGTGCTGGCATGATTTTCTTCTTATTGGTTCTCTGGAGTTGTTTGCTTGGCGTTGTTAATGCTTTGAGCTTGACCAATTCTTTTGATGCTCCATTCATAAAGGTCTTTGACCCCGGAGGATGTCTGTTCACAACGCATGATTCCTCGTTTATTCTAGATTTCCAACTTGAGGACAAGTTGGTTTTCGAGGCGGGGAGAGTGTTACGGGACTATTACTATTATTATTATATTATTATTATTATTATTGTAGGTAAGGAGTTATTTATAGTTAGATAATTATTATTAGAGAATATTATTTTTGTTAGGTTATTAATTAGTTTCTTATTTTATTTAGTTTCCTTTTAGAGATTGGATTCCCTTAGGCTTTTAGAGTTTCACTCTATATATTGAGATGTATTGCTTTAGAATTAAATCAATAATCTCTTCCTCTTATCCCTTGTTCTTCTCTTCCGCCGAACAAAGATTCACGGTTCTCTCCCTTTTCTCGTCTCTTTTTCTCTTGGAGCTTGAAGAACGCTCGAAGTTCTTCCCTATCCCGATACGATATCGTATCAATTCGTAACATCTTGACCGAATATTTTATAATATTTTTTAGGAAAAATTACCCAAAATAATCCCAACTTTACCCGGTCTTTCAAAAATAATCACACCTTTCACTGTGATGCATAATAATCCCAACTTTACTGAAATTTTCCAGTTTTGGGCCGCCGTTAAGTTTCTAACGTAGGGTTAACGGAAATGCCCGTTTTAGGCAACAAAATGAAAGTTGGGATT